GTTTTAGTAGAGAGAGGCCAGGTTCACACTGGGTGTTACTTTATACCCAATGCTGTTGTATCGGAGAAGAGGAACCATTGTTAATGACACCGTGTCTCCAGTCATCCGTTTCTATCTGGGAAGTGGATCTCAGTTACTCATCGATCGATATTCATGATCACCTACTTTGTGTCAGGTACAGTTGTAGGTATTGGGAATAGAGACGTGAAGAAAACAGCCACCACCCTCAGGAAGCTTATGTTTTGGGAGGAGAGACTGGCAATGATGAAAAAAGGGATATAATTTAATGTTTGGTCATCGTAATTGCTATAGAGAAATAAAGCAGAGTGTGGTGATAGAGATGCTGCCAGAAGTACTGTTTTAGACGGGATGTCAGAGGCCACTTCTGAGGAAGTGACATTTGAACCATCCTCATAGTCATCCCAGACAGATCCGTACCACAGGGCAGCCCTCCCTGAATTACCCTAGATGCCCCGGGCGTGCCCTGGAAGCTGGCCAGGACGAGGACAATGCCTGGCACAATGCTATGGCAGTTTGTTTTGTGTGTTGTCTTCAACGGCTGTGAACTTGCTTTCACATTTTATCTCCAGTCCCAACAGTCCCACACCGTCATTTTCTATGTGGTGTGCTATGCACATCGCATTTCCAGTCAGTTTCAAAGTTCTAAGAGGTCTGGAGAGAGGTGGGCATTTTTGAACATGTAGCAACACTAGAGGCCATTTCCTGGCACTCGTGCGGCTCTGTAGGGAGGCATCCTGGGAATTCTTCCCATGTCCCAAGTCTTTGGAGCTACCTGCCATCTGAGAGGATTGCAACACTTCCTGAACCTTAGAGCGAAGGGAAATGGGCTCCTGTATCCAAAACCTTCAGACTGAAGTGTTTGCCAAGTGCTTTGCAATCTGTCTTCCCATAGTTCCCTCTTCATGTCTGTGATAGGGTTTATCATGTTGGTACAGCACATTACTGAATAAACGGTGGGACAGATGGAGGGGACAGAATGGAGGAGAAGAATAAGTGAGTGACATGGAACTGTGAGCTCTTCACAGGGATGGTCTGTCTGTGAGCTTCCTGTGGGCACAGGGTGACTGGCACATGGTATTGGCTTTCAGTAAAAGTTGGGGCATGAATGAGCTATACAGGGTGAAGGTGAGCTGCTGTTTATTTGGAAGTTTTGAATATTTTATGTTAAGAGCTCCTGTTGTTGAAGAGGCATATTATTACAAATCCTTTTGCATGGTGAATTTCCTTGATCTGGATTTCATCATGGATTTTAAAGACATGGTATTAAGAAGAATTACAGTTGATGAGGAAAGCATGAACGGTGAGGTGGCCAATATGGGGTGGGTCAGAGTTTGAATTGCTGACAGTATCTTGGATTCTGTAGCTCATTGCTGGCTGGTCTGTCCATATGTCCATTTGTCCATCTGTCGTCCATCCATCCACCAATTCGTGTTTGTCAGGTAGGAAGAGGTTCTTTTACTTACCAGCAGTGTGGTCATTCGTCTCACAGGGATGCAGTTTTCTTATCTATAGAATAATGGGTTTTGTCTAGGTTATATAAAGGGTCATATTAACGCTAGATTTCTGAGATTCTTACAGTTTGATTGTGTGTAAGACATTGGGAAGAATACCCGCATGAATGAAACCCGAGTCCTGCCTCCAGAAGGCACACAGTCTGGTAGGTGTGCTGATAACTGGAGGGCCAGCAATAATGCAGCTAGGGAGTGACCAGGAACTAGACACACTGCAGTGAACTGGGGAGGGGAATTTAGAGAAGGGGCAGATCTTTTTAGCTGCAGTGTTAAGGAAGGAAGGCTTCGGGGTTGGGGGAAGGCGGCATTTCATTTGAGTGGAGGGAAGTGACACATTAAGTTGACGAGAATCAGTTGATTATCCTCTTTGTCTCATTTAAAGTTCACAACAGTGAGATAGGCTAAATTATCTCCATTCAGCAGATGAAGAAACCGAGGCAGGGAATGTCCAAAGTCTCCAACTGTTGTTCGGCAGAGCTGCGATTCAGGAGGAGGTCTGTTAATCCCATTTCATCCTTACCTCTTGAAGGTTGAGTCGGTAAAGCGATGAAGTCGTGGGGCATCTCAGGTGAATAAAAGCCCTTCCGCACTGGCGGGGCCAGGGGGAAGTGCCTGCCCCAGGGGTGTCAGGGGCCCTGGAGCATGGTGCCCCATGGTAATAGCAGGAACTTAGCCTGGGAAGGCAGCCTGGGGTTTGAAGGAGAGGCTCCAGAGACTGGCTCTACAGGATCTGGTCTTTATTAGGCCCACGTGGAGATTTTGTGCAGAGACGGGGCATGATTAGAGGGATACATTTCAGGATGTTTATGGCTGTAAGAATACTTTCATGGAACTCAGCGCTTAACTGTGATGCTGAGCAAACACCTCCCCAATGTCTCCTGCGGTCTAAGCCTGGGAGAGGTCCATCCAGGCGTTTGCAGTAAAGAGCACCGAGCCCTGGCTCCACCATCCTGTGCATCAGCACTTCAGAAACCCCTGCTCAGGCCTTGGGACGTTGAGAAGAAAGTTCCTACTCCTCCTTTTCTCCACTGATCCCTTGATTTTCACCAGTTTTCTGCTATTTCAAAAGTTCTGCTCAATAAACAAATAATTCATTCTCCTTTGGCCTTGCTAGTGAATAATATACCATAATATTTAGATTAAAGCAGGGTAGTAGCTACACTAGAAAAATACATCCCAGTTACATGATGAATTCCTCATTTTCCTTTTTATTCGTGGTATCCTGGGGTGGCCTACTGGAGAAAAAAAATACTATTTGATTCTCACTGGGTGGTCAGACAGGACTTGTAAAGACTCTTGTTTGTTTTGTGTCGAGGCTTCAAAGTCACGCAGGCTTCTCTACAAAAAGATGTACTAAAAAAATAGGGTTTTTTTTTTGAAGTTGCTGTGTATAAAGGGAAATTCAGAGCAACCATCTTCCTTTAGAACCGCGAGCTAATGTGATTCTTTCACCAGGCACCTTTGTCATTTCGTTGTCTGGTCATTACCGCCGGTCTTAAGGGGAAATGTGTTATAAAAGCAATCTCCACCTGGGTTGTTTTTTAAACCATTGCAGGAACATGCACTTTAACTTCTAAAACCACATTTCTGATTGTACACTAGATTTTTTAAGAGCTAAGAAATCTGAGTGGTGTGTGTGTATGAGAGAGAGAGAGAGAGATCCAGGATGCTCTGAGGTATGTGCTGCCCAGAAACATGTTCCAGGCCTCTGCTCAGCACATTCCAATTAGGGAGGCCCTCCTGCTGCGGTGTGGGATGCGGGAGAAAAGTTTGGGTTGGGGGTAGGGCTGGCTGAATGGAGGCTACCATTTAATGCAGGCTTCCCAGAGCGCCCTCATCTGCACCTGGGAGTCAGCTGGCGCAGTGTGCACGGTCGGTGTTTTCTGCCGTGCAAAGTGTGTCAGCCATTTTATTTACCCACGCTCATTCTCTCCATTTCATACAATTAATCGTACTTAATGGGGGAGGTTGATAGTGCTGACTTATTTGGAGCCTGGAGGGAGCAGAGCAGCTGTGTCCCGGATCAGAGGACTGATCTATCTAATAGGCTGTCTTGTCACCTGATTCACGGGATGAATGTGCACAGCCAATTATGTGAATTCCTATATGAGAGAAAGATGACCTTGAGCCCCTGTGAGCCAGACAGTGGCTTGATGCAATGTGCTCATCCACGGAGGCTGTGCCTCTGGCTCGGCCTAACAGGAATGTGGTCTAGTGCTGGGCCTTGGCACAGATTTCTCCTTAGAGAAAGAAATGGCCTCTGTGTGAAGGAGGTGAATCTTTCATGACTTGCCAAGAACTTTGGAACCAGGTGCTTAGAAAATGAGCATTTGGGGGTTTAGCCTCTACAGATTTTAAGAGAGAGCAAAACCTCTAAGCTTTATCCTTGTATGCAGACATAACCTGTTGTTATCAACTTTTTCCCCCCAAAATTCTATAGAGAGGCAAATATAAATATTTTGAATAAAAAGGTTGAACTGTTATAAGCTAACTTCGCTGGGTATTCTATTGGGCAGTTATTTTATAATCAAATACAGGGTGTCCCAAAAAATGTGTACACCCTTTGAATAATTATTAATTCCAGTGGGTTAAATGTGAAAAGAAATATCAATTGAGCTATCAGCTGCTAAATGTGCATACATTTTTTTTTTTTTTTTGGATACCCTATACATGCTCACAAAATATCAGAATTTTTAAAAAAGATAAGCCTGGGCACAGAAAACAAACTTAATCCTTGTTAAGATCTTGGAGTCAAAGTTCACCACAGCTTTAATGTGACTGTACCAGCTGTATATATAAATCGCCCTGGTGCAGTGGGCGGAGCTTACTTCTTCCTTAGCATCAGCCAGCTTCTGGCTTTGATCTGTGGCTCTGCTGCAGCTAGTTCTGTGACCTTGGGCAAGTTACTGCACAGTGTCAGCCACAGTCTCTTTGTCCATAGCCTTCTGTTGCTATTGCGATGAACTTTATAAAATCCGTTTTAGAGGTTACGTAAAATAAGCTACAGAAATAACTAGGCTCTGGCATATAAATTTGTGTTAGTTCCCTTTCTTTTCTTCTGATTACATCCTAGAGCCAGTTTTTTTCCAAATGTCGTACTATCCTCTTAGCTTTGGGAGTCACTATGGAGAATATCTAAAACACTTCACATTCCAGAGAATGAAGTCTAGACCCAGAAAGGGAGAATCACGAGCTTGCAGTGCCTTAGAATAAGAGTGGCAGCACTTGGTGCTGAAACCTTGCATCTCTAGATGCTTCCAGTTTTCTCCAGGTCAGAGGACGGCTCACCATTCTGTAGTGAGTCCCTCATCTGGCTCCAGAGCCGTGAAGTTCCAGGCCAGTCTTTAATAAGCAAACAATTTTCCAAAACTGCCTGTAGGTAGACGGAGATGTGTACTGAAACCGTACTCTACTGTGTCCTTCTGTACACTCTTACAACTTTTGACTCACTTTCCTCTTCTCTCCTAGCACTCTCAGGAGCCTACAGAAGCATTGACACCCAGCATGTTCAGGTAAGAAACTTTCTGGATGGAGATTCGCACGGATTCCCTTTGTGGGTACAGCCTGGTGGTTGTTCTTTCCTGGTCTTCTCCAAAGAACCTACTGGTCACTGTTCCCCCCGGTTCTTCTCTCCTTGCCTCCCTGGAGGGAGGCTGGGTTTATGACACATGTCAATTCTATCCGTCCTGTTAAAATTTTTTTTTTTTCAATGTTTATCTCTTAAAGGTAAGGCTCCTTGTTTTTTGAAGATAATACTATGTTCACATCTAAAACAATAGTTAACTATAATGCCTTCAAATCAAATACCCAGTTTGTGTTCAGTACTCCCCTTTGTAGAGACAGATCTCTTAGGGATGTAATGGACAACATGATGACTATAGTTAGCACTGCTCTATGGTATACTTGAATGTTGTGAAGAGAGTAGATCTCAAGGGTTCTCATCACAAGGAAAAGAAAAACCACATTGTTTTCCTCTTTTTCTTCCTTTTTGTACCTATATGGGATGATGGATATTAACTTACTGTGGTAATAGTTTTGCAATATACAGTATGTAAGTCAAATTATTATGTGGTACACTTCAAGCTTATACAGTGTATATGCTAATTACATCTCAATAAAATTTGGGGAAAAGAAAACAAATCTCCATTTGTTATTTCCAATGTTTCAAGATGCCAGCAGTTCAGTCTAGAGCAGTGGTTGGAAAACTGCGGCCCCTTGAGTGTGGCTCTTCCACAAAATACCACGTGCGTGCGCGCACGTACAATGCGATTGAAACTTTGTGGCCACACTCAAGGGGCCAAAGAGCCACATGTGGCTCGAGAGCCGCAGTTTGCTGACCACTGGTCTAGAGCACTGATTGCCAAGGTGTGGTCCTGAGATCAGTAGCATCTGTATTATCAGGAAACTTGTTAGAAATGCAAATAGTTGGACCATCTCCCAGATGGACTGAATCAGAGATTCTGGGGGGTGGTTTAACAAGCCCTCCAGGTGATTCTAATGCACAGTAGGGTTAAGGAGCCACTGGCCTAAAGAAAACCAAAATGTATGCTCACTACACACCCTATTTTTACACTTGTCTTTGTGTTAAACACAACCACATAATCCCGAGACACTCAAAATACTTAACACCTGGATTACTATGACATACTACGAAATATATATTTTGGTCTTTGTCCCTGGCTCCTGGCTAAAGTCCCTAAAACCCTTATAATTTCTTAGAGCAATAGGAGTACCTTTTGTTGTAATATTTGGTTATTGTCCCTAGCTCCTGACACAGCTCTGTAGTGATAAAGGTGCGAAGACCATCTTTTGTTAATTACAATAAGCCCCTTTCAACCACACCTGAGTTTATGTGAATAGGTTGACTTTTGGAAGCCCCCAAATATGAGGTCTAGTTGCTATGGGAACCAACCCTGTGATTAGAGGATTGAAACTTTTCAGCCCTGACTTCCAGGAAGGGTAGAGGAGCTGGAGTCTGAGTTAATCCTCACTGGCCAGTGCTTTAATCAATTATGCCCACTTAATGAGCCACCATAAAAACCCTGTAAGAAGCAGTTTGGAGAGCTTCCGGGTTGAACGGGAGGTTGGTGTTCCTGGAGAGACCGTGGAGGCTCCACACGCCTTGCCCTGGGCATCTCCTCTATTTGGCTGTTCCTGAGTTCTATCCTTTATAATAAGCCAGTAGTCTGGTAAGTAAATTGTTTTCCTGAATTCTGAGAGCTGTTCTAGTAGATTATAGAACTAGAGGGAGGGGTTGTGGAAATCCCTGATTTAGTACAGCTGGTTGGTCGGAGGTTCAGGAAGACCATCTGGACTTCCAGTTGGCATTTGTGTGTATATATATATTTTGATCCTCACCCGAGGACATGCTGAGAGAGAGAGAGAGGAGAGAGAGAGAGAGAGAGAGAGAGAGAGAGAGAGAGAGAGAAAGAGAAATAGAAAGAGAAAGAGACAGGCATTGATGTGAGAGAGAAACATCCATCTGCCTTCTGCACACTCCCAGAGCAGCATGTGCCCAACCCGGAATCCAACCGGCAACCCTTCAGTGCACGGGATGATGCTCAACCAACTGAGCTAGCCAGTGGGGCTGCTGTTGGCATTTGAAGTGGGGAGCAATCCTGTAGGACTGAGCCCTTATCCAGTGGGGTCTGTATTGGCTTTGGACAGTGAGTGTCAGCATTGAATTGGAAAATTGCTTGGTGTCAAAAAACCCCACACATTTGATGTCAGAAGTGTTGAGTAGAAGAAAGGGGGAGTTTTTGCTTTTAATTACCAAGATGGAGTCAAGCTTTCTGTGCCTGGTGGGGCCTGTCTCAAGTGTGCCTCCACCTCTAACTGCAGAGGGCCTCCCACTCAGCCTGCTCCCGAATCTGGAAGCCTGTGTGGGCTGGTGGTGGAGGTCAGGACCAGGACTTTCTGGGACAGGACAGACTGAGTGAAATGAGAGATTTAATGTACTTGCTAGAGAAATTGGTTTGTTTTTTAAAAGATCATTCAGAAACACCTCAGATATATTGTGGGTTTGGTTCCAGACCACAGCAATAAAGCAAGTATCACAATGAAACGAGTCAAAAACTTTTTGCTGGGTAGGTTCTTGCCTTCCATTTGTGAAAAAAGAAACACCTGTGAAGTGCAATAAAGCAAAGCGCAATGAAGTGAGGCATGCCTATGCTTCTAATGGGGTTCTCAATCCTGGCTGCACCGTGGAATCGCCTGGGTGGCTTTTTAAAAATCACTGGTCACTTGGTCTGACTCCCAGAGATTCCAGTTTCATTTGAGTTGGGTGTGTGTGGGGGGGTGTGAGGGGTAGTAGCAAGGGTGGTGAAAGGGGTGGATCCCAGCATTAGTATGGCTTACAGGCTTGTCAGGTGATTCTTTTTTTTTTTTTTTAAATATATTTTATTGATTTTTTACAGAGAGGAAGGGAGAGAGAGAGAGAGAGTTAGAAACATCGATGAAAGAGAAACATCGATCAGCTGCCTCCTGCACATCTCCCATTGGGGATGTGCCCGCAACCCAGGCACATGCCCCCGACCGGAATCGAACCTGGGACCCTTCAGTCCGCAGGCCGACGCTCCATCCACCGAGCCAAACCGGCCTCGGCCAGGTGATTCTAACTATAGCCATGGTTCAAAACCACTAGTTAAGACTTGTGTTTGGCTTGGGATTCAGATGAGAAATAAGGTGGACATACATTGCAAGAGCGTACCCTCTGGGTCTTACCCTGCACATGAGTAAATGCTTTTAGAACTGTGCTCCCCAGGCTACTAGTGACTGGATATGAGGGAGTGTTTTTTCTGCCATTTCTTCCTTTACCTGTTTGTTGCTTGGTTTTCAGCTGGTGCAGGCATGTTGCGCAATATTGCTGACCAGCTCTAGGTAAGGAGATTTGACTACCATTTGTCTGCTCCCCTGTACGTGTCTTCTGGGAATATATTTGTGCCTATAGCTTGCAAGTGACCTACTCCCTCACCTCTGCAGTTCCCTTTATGTAAGTGGATACAGCTCCAGTAAGGGAACTTCCAGAGACTGAGGGTACATTTTGCAGTGAGAGGCATTTTAATTTTTCTAAGACTATCAATGGGACCAGAGCCTTCCTTGCAGTCCCGACTTATGGAAAGGAAAGATTGAGCTGTATTTGTTGGTTGAGTGTTGAAAAATTCCATGGACAAAGGAAAGGGAAACAAGTTCTACCACTTGTTTTTCTTGGCAGGTTTTATCACCTCCCTTCCCCCCGCCCCCCAAGTTTCTGGCAAGTGTGATTAGAAATTGACTTGTAGGATTTGCTCACACTAGCTTCCCAAGACATCTTTTGCTTGCTTGCTGCTGACTAGCAGTAGTTAATTTGCTATCTCTCACTCGTGTTATCCAAAAATCACAGAACTCATTAGAAATAAACAGCATGAACTTGGTCCTCGCATTTGGAGGATTAGCCAGATGTAAATCTAAGTCGCACTTGGGAGGTATCGAGGGCCTCATTTAAAAATAAATAGAACTCTAGCCTTGAGTGGAAACAGATTTTTAAAAAAATGAAATATCTCACTGGAAAACAAATTTTATTTTTCCAATAAAAAAATATGGGGAGGAGGTAAGTTTTTCTGGATGCCAGTGCTTATTTTATTTCATGCCCTTTCCTTCTCCTTGCTGATGGCAGATGTGGCAGAAATAAAGACCCAATTTCATTTTCCAAAATGGGAAAAATTTAATCAATTCAGGAATTTATTCTTAATTGGCAGCAGACGTTTAAAACCTGATTGGTCACGGTTGACTATTTAATGTGCCTTTTAGGAAAATAAATATACATTGATGTATTTCCCAAACCTCTTATGGACTCATCACTGCATAGCAGGTTATTGAGGTGTTGGGCTTGAGGTTTTCTGATTCTTAAAGCTTTAAAAAAACATTTCTCACTAAGACAAATTGAAAGAGCTATTTTTCATGTGATTACAATATATGATTTATGTGATTAGAAAATTTGTTTTCTATTGATATGCAGACTCGTTGCCAGCAATACCAAATATTCATGTGCCACCTGTTTTTAATTCCTGCAAAACCTATAATTAGAATGAAATTAAAAATACCTTACCTTTGACGAATCAGAAAAGTAATTCAAATTTATTGAAACGTTGTGTGCTTATCCTTCCAGATCATGCTGCATCAGATGAGGACATAAATGCCAAGGGGTTGACTCTACCAAGTAGATACATTTCATGCAGATGAATGAATTGAGTTAAAGACCTGCTAGACTTCCCATAAGCTGATCCTGGTCATCCTAATTTCTAGCACTCCCCAACTTTAACAATTGTATATCATACTACCTTCTATTTTCTATTTTTTTTATTGTGACAATGACTATTTGTATGTAACCTGTCATAATAAAGCATCTGCTTTATCAAAACCAATACAAGACTTTTCAGCTGTCTTAGCCATCTTTCTGCCCATGAAATCATTTTCTATTTTTTATTCCTGTTCAACTCTGAGATCAAATTTACAATGTATATTCCTACTAGTGTCTAGGGATGAAGATAGCTGGCCCGGTAGCTTTTATTTAGTATTTCAAAATAAATAGATGGTCAGAGCTGTAGCAGACTGGCTTTTTGGGGCTCACTACAGAAAGGCTCCTTGTTTGAATCTGCGTTACTGAAGGTGTGTCATGAAGGATTCGGTAGTAACAGGAAATAATTCACTGATCTTCTTATTTCTGAAGAGCTACCCTCCCCTTGCAAGCACTTTGGTAGCAAGGTACTGTAAAATTTCAATAAGTAGGGCTGCAGGGAGAGGGAAAGAGAAAGAAAGAAAAATGAAATACCAGAAGCAAATAGTTCTATCCATATTCATGTCATGTCCATAGGGTCTGAGAAACGGATATTGAAGTGGCAGAACCAGACTGCCTCTTCGTTCCTATGAACTAATTAAATGTGTTTTCACTTAAAAAGGATAACAATGTTAAATCTTAATGGGATTAACCTAACTGAAATTTATTAGGAATTGCTTTGACAGTAAAGATTATGGATGGCTCAAATTCCATTTTGAGATGGGAGCTTTGATTCCTGTGATTTTTGCTGTTGCTGTGCTGAAAATATCCAAGCTACCAAACAAAGCTTGAATGTTGGGATTGAGAGCTGGACTATGAGTAGAGTTTTAATATTTTCCTCTTTAACTATTTTTGAGGATTTGTTTTTACCTTTTTCAGTCTAAAGTGAGGTCTCTTTAAAGCAGAAGTGAGGAACTTTTTTTCTACCAAGGGCCATTTGGATATTTATAACATAATTTGTGGGCCATACAAAATTATCAGCTTAAAAATTTAGCTATATTTGGTCAAACATTTAATTACTTCACCCATAATGCCTTGGCAGGGCCAGACCAAATGATTTCAAGGGCCTTATACGGTCTGTGGGCTGAATGTCCCCCCATCTCTGCTTTAAAACAAAGAGGAGCCCCCCATTTTAAAAAGAGAATTAAAGGCGTGTTGATAGTTTTTGAGGGTCTCTCTTGCTCAATTTTCTAGCTGAACTGTTCCTTCACGCCAAGTCCATTGGTAACTACTACCTGTTTCTCCTTTTTCTATGTTATGTATTGCAGGAGCCCAATAATATTTTTTTATTGTATTAAAATATACATAACAAAATTCACCGTTTTTAATCATGTTGAGTATACAGTTTGGGTGAATTTGACTACAATAGGTATATCATAAATGAAATTATACAGTATTTGTCTTTTTGTGACTGGCTTATTTCACTTAATGTTCTCAAGGTTCATCCATGTAGCATGTATCAGAATTTCCTTTTTAAGACAGAATAATACTCCTTTTTAGCTATTGTGAATAATACCAGTAAGAATATGGGAATACAAATATCTGTTCAAGTTCTTCAATATTTTTGAATTGCTTGAAAATAAAAGGTGTTTTGCTGATTATTTAATACACCCAGTTGCTGATTTTGATACTGATTATAAAGACTTAAATATTGTTGATAACAAGGAAAGCCTTTTATATAGCATAATTGTAATTAGTATGTTGGGTCTGGGTTATGAAGGGTCTGTCCCCTCAAAGCACGAGAGGACAGCTAAACAAATGGCAACGAAAACCCTTTTGAACGTGCCCAACTAGATATTATGACCCACTTTCTCTGGTAAAGACCCCATTGGAATAGACTTTCTTTTTAAAAAAATCTGTTTTATTGTCAAGATCTGTATTTTGGAATATTTGTTAAATAAATGTTGCTACAAAACATCTGGGAAAATTAAACTTTCTGGTCAATCAGTCCTCAAAGCAAAGACAATTTGGGGTTTGGGATGTGAGTCTTCTTCTCTAGAGAGTCAGGCTTATCTCTCAGAAAGTGGATTAACAGCTCGTATTGCTAGCACATACTGCCGAAGACATACATTCTATCCTTACATTTTTAGTGTTTTTGAAGTTTTCTCTATCTTCTAAAGTGACCCTGAGATAATAATTCTTTCAGATATCTTAAGCTTAATTAAACAGAGACAAGTTCCTTCTTGAATTAATGCTATTTATTTGGCATACACTATATGTCAGAGTTATATATTAGTAGTTAATATGTATTCAATCCTTGGCACATATTAGGCACTGTTTTGAGCTCTTTATATGTGTCAAAAGTTATTCAATCTTCCCAGCATCTCGATGTATTTGATACCAATATAACATCATTTTACAAATGTGGAAAATGAGAGGACTTAACTGGATCAAGGACACAGGAATTGCGAGAGCCAAGACTTGAACTTGGGAATCTTTGACCACTCTGCCATACCTGGCACTTGATTGTTGGTTTAACTTAATGAACCACGTGGACAATGTCACCTTCAAGACAGTCTTTTTGAGGAGAATAACAGAGTGTTGAAAGTCAGTTCTGTGTGTCTCTCTAGAAACCCATGCCATAGTCAATGATCACGAAGTTTAGAAGTTCAGCACCAAAGGACCAAGTTTTCTTCTGAACACAGTGTCCTTCATTTCACCTTTAAAGGCAAATGCATTTCATAGAAAAGGAAATTAAAAAGACCATGCTTAGAGAAATTTAATAAATTTAATACATTTTAAAATAAAAGGTGTTATTTTTTAATGAATTCATATTTCATAAAGAATTTATAAAATGTATTAGGAATTAGCCTCACTCAGAAATTTGGCATTGAAGCGTGTGTAAGGAATATATTCTTACGTCCACTTATTATTGAGCTATTTCTCTTAATATAAGATAATTGGTATTTTCAAAATTTCTTGTAGCCACTTTTGTTTAAAAATAATAGGACTACCATTTTAGTAGTTAGCAAGTGAAGTGAATATGAATCTTTGTAATGACAGGTCTTATTTCTTCTGAAGACCTCTTAATTCTCATGGTGAGGTTTATGAAGTGTTCTATAGCTAAAGGAACATTTGTTGAGCAACAGTTATAGTTGCCAGGCATTTTGCTAGATGCTGGGGATTTAAAGACAGTTATATACTTTTAAGATATTCTTAACCAAGTATGAAATATAGAAGACCAAGAAGAGAAATATTTATTCTGTGAGGAAAGTGGTTTGAAGAAAACTTTACTGGGCAAGAACTTAGTTTTAACGCTTGAATAGGAGTTTTCTGGCAGACAAAGTAGAGTGAGAGAGGTGAGTGGTTTTGGGCAAAGGAAAAGCCATGCATGAGGGCACTGAGATAAGCACCATGGGTGAAATCATATAATTCTTAGCCTTTTCCATCTGACTTATTTCACTTAGCATGATACACTCAAGGCTCTTCCATGTTATTGCAAATGGTGATATTTCATCATTTTTTTATGGCTAAGTAGTATTCCAGAGTACAGTGGGGTCTTGACTTACGAGTGTCCGGACTAACGAGTTTTTTGAGATACCAGCTGTCTCTTGGCTGATTTTTTTCATTGAGTTGACAGAGTAATTTGAGTTAACGAGCTCCTTAATGAGCTCCTTAACGAGCTCCTTAACGAGCTCGGTCTCGGAATGAATTAAACTCCTAAGTCAAGGCCCCACTGTATATGTACCACATCTTTATCAGGTTATCCATTAAAAAACACTTTGTTAATACGTCTTGGCTACAGTGAATAATGATGCAATGAAAATAGGGGGACATATATCTTTACAAATATGTGTTTTCAAATGTTTCTGTAGATACCCAGAAGAGGGATTTCTGGGTCATAATGGTAGCTCTATTCTTAATTTTTGGAGGAGCCTCCATACTGTTTTTCATAGAGGCTAAACCAATTGACATTCGCACCAGCAGTATGTGATTGTTCCCTTTTCTTCTAATCTCTCCAACACTTATTTCTTATCATATTGATAACAGTTATTTTAACAGGTGTGAGCTGGTATCTCATTGTGGTTTTGATTTGCATTTCCCTTGTAGGTAGGCAGAAAAGGACAAGAATCATATGATTTCACTCAGATGTGGGATGTAAAGCAGAAAGCAACAAATGAACAGACAAATTAGGGTGGTTACCGGAGGAGAAGGGGAATGAAAGGAGGATGGAGAAGGTAAGGTAGTCAAACATACGGTGACAGAAGGAGACCAGACTCTGGATGGTGAGCACACAATACAATATACAGATGATGTATCATAGAATTGTACACTTAAAACTTGTGTAATTTTACTAAGTAATGTTATCCCAATAAATTTAATTTAAAAAAGAAGCAGCATGATAGTTCAGCAAACCTTAAATAGGAAGGGAGTTGATTTTAGTGTAAAGACCATAGGCCTACCCAAAAGGTTTAAAAATTTCCCTTAAGTCTTGGTTTTAGTCTCTGTAAAAAGAGAGATCATTCACTTTGATATGTTTTTGAGGATTAAAAATAATGTATGTAAATTGTTCAGTAAAGAACTTGACATAGGTTTCTACATTGATATTATCATTTATTAAGTTACGATATTTTTTTATTTTTGTCTTTTTATTTTTTTGGTTTAAGTAATATCACAGTTACATGGTTCAAAACCAAAAGTATATAAGCCTCCCTTCCATCCTGTGCTCATCTCTAAGTCCCTCCTGTGCAGTTCTCACAGGAAACCACCGTCCTTAGTGTCTTATGTATCCTTTCCTAGGCTCTTTATGCTGCACAAGGAAATGTGATAGCAATTCTGTACTTCCTGCTTTTACCCCAAAGGTAGCATATTACACACAGTGTGCACTCCCCCCCCCCCCCGCCCCGCCCCACCTTTTTTAGCTTAACAATGCATCTTAGAGATCTTCCCATTTAATTTTATACGGATCTTTCTCATGCTTTTGTTTTTAAATGCTAGTTTATTTTAAAATAGCTTCACTCGCAAAAAATTGCAACAACAGTACAGAGTTTCTGTGTGCCCTTCGCTCAGTTTCCCCTGAAAGATAATCTTGCAAAACCATAGCACAGGAGTTGGAAACCTTTTCTCTGCCAAGGGCCATTTGGGTAT